TACTTTCTCAAGGCACTGTATACAGACTGATTTTACTGTTGTGGGTTTAGTAACACTTTACCAATGTTTCCTATTCTCCAAACTGGTAGTAATTCCACAGCGACAGTAGTTAGAACTACAGTCCCTAAATTTGTTGCACGTTTCCAAAATTGGCACAAATGCTTGGCTGAATTAGGCACAGCTAGTGCAAAAGGAAACTATATTGAATGTTTTAAAGTGGGCCAAACATATCTACTATCTACAGTTAGGCTGATTTACTAAAAGAGTTGAGAATCATTACTCAAAAAAATTGTGTGAATATTCACGTCAATTATCCAATCACGTAAAAAGCATCTGCACAAGATTTGATATCCAAAGTGAACAGAAATGTCCTCTCAACAAAATGGGATCATTGAAGATTTTTAACTTCTTTAGTAAATCAGCTTCATGTAATGATGTGTGAATATAAAGCACACCATGGACACATGTGGACCTACTTTGGATGAATGCAACAATTAAAGTTTTAGTTAGTGAACTTTTTTTTTTCACATTTCTACTACCCTGATAACCATTTACAGAACAGAACACATATAAATGGGAAGATAATAACAGGTAAAATAAAGAGTTCAGCAAATTCAGAATTTCCTAGATCATCCTCAACAGACTTTTTATTTCCTTTGGCTAAATGTGTACATATTGACAGTTGGTAGTGCTTTAGTATTCTTGGCACAAATCCTTTACTAGACAAATACTGTACAGGAGATCTGACATGCAAAATATTGGTAATATTTAACCAAACAATCGTGTATAATCTACAGCACTATTACTGGCGCAAAGAGCAGTGGTCATGTATAAGTGAGTTTGCATTGGACATCTCTGGATATAATACAAAAAAAAGTTTTTTTTATAAGTATGTCATGCATAACACTCCATCCTAAAAAAATCTGTATGTATACTGGTAAATTAAAAAGGTTACTTTGACATTGACTAAAGCAACCCATAGATTATGCAATTTTCTTTCCCTCCTCCACAGGTCGCAGGAAAGAAAATTTCTTGATTCCCCACCACCACAGTCAGTGTTGATGAGGAAATTCTCCCCTAGCCCTATTGTGTTCCCTGTCTTCCCCACCGGAAGAACACAATGATCACTGCTGGCGGCTATAGCTGCTGGAAGAACACAATGATCAATGCTAGTGGCTATAGCTATATAAAAAATCCAACAAGCTGGTTGTACTGAGGTCCACTGATGGACCAATGGATGGATCGACTGTAGTACAAACAGCCTGCCCATAGATGGATCGAATCTCGGCTGGTTCAGAAGGGATGGTTTCGATCCATCTATGGCTGGCTTAACTGATATTTGAAACCTGAGGAACAGATCCATACATGATCATGGAGCAAAATAAACTTTTATGTTGATGTTTAGCGTCTCTTCCCTGTATATTAAGGCCTCATGGACACTGGATGTTTTTAATGCCACTCTTAGGGGCGACTGGTGTGTTTTTTTTCCTGCCTCTGAACAATGCTGCATATTAGCCGATGTGTCCATGCACACATAGGAGTTTAGAGAAGTTTACATGCAAGGGAGTTTAGAGGCAGAAAAAAACCCCCACTGATAGGAGCAGCAGAGTTTTGTCAGAAAAAAAAAACGCTTGACGAGTCTAAACACACATTTAGCCCTGGTTCACATTGATGCAGTGCGGAATTTGCAGCGTTTTCTGTGCAAATTATGCACCGCATCAGAATTGCACCCCGGTGCGAACCTCTGCGGGTGTGTATGTTAAGTTAACAACACCCTGAAAGTGGTCCACAAAACGCGGTGCGATGTGCAGAATCGGATTGCATAGCTGTGAATACCCATGTGATCCGATTCTAGTGCGGAACAAAAAAAGGGTCCTGCACGTTTTTGGTGTGGGTGCGGTGCGAATAGAGCCATATAAAATGTATGGCTCCAATTGCACCGCACACAAATCGCATGTGATTTGCACAGAAATGCAGTGCGGTTCCGGTGCGAATCACATGCGATATACTGCACCACACATATGTGAACCCAGGCTAACACTAGGCATGTTTAGAGCTTGAGCGTTTAATTCATAAATTATTATTCTGGACAATTAAATGAATTAACGCCCAAGTACTTGATGCGCCTAAACATGCGCATTTACCTGTTTAACTTTTTTTTTCACGTCAAGCTTTTTTTTTCTGCCGAAACACTGCTGCCATGATGAAAGGCACCTGGGAGAGATGGGCAAATCCAGTATGCATGGGACCTTATATATATAAGTATCATATTTTAGCATGAAAATTCCAAAAAATCTAAAGAGGTATCATTTTAATCTGTAATGTCCCCTTTCTGTGATATAGTAACACACAGGGTCAATAGAATGTTCAGGCCAGAAAATTACAGTCATCTTATAATTATATACAGATATGATCCATTACTTAAAAAAAAAGTAAGTACAATAGCTAATGATTTTAAAGTAATTACATTTACATAGACAAAGTTGGCCAAGCAGATCCAGTGTGATCAGTATTATCAGTAATATTAGTATAAGAGTATTAGAAAGCCATTCCTTTTGAGATGTAAAGCACTAAAAGTTTGGCATTGTGTTGCAACAAATTTTATGTAGGAACTTTTTTTCCAACAGTGTTCCTGATAGTAGATCCTTTATCGTATCATACATCTTATGTCTACATGTTATCTTTTTAGTACTTCAAAATGTACTACCAGCAGGTCACCTTGTGCAGGATATGCAATATCCTAATAATATCTTAATACATGACACTACTAGTATGCTGCAGCCAGAAGGCTAAATCCTTGAATGAAGTACCAAGGACACCATTTAGCTCTATAGTGCAAATAGCTGATTATGTATGTTAACTAGTGGAAGTATTGCAGAAAAATCAAGTATTAAAACCATACTAAACTCTGGTTTAAAAATATCAATTCATGTATGTAAGTGGTTGTAAAGGCTAAACGCTTTTTTACCTTCTTGCATTCTATGCAAGAAGGTAAAAAAACCTTCTGTATGCATCAGCATCCCCAGCCCTACCAATACTTACCTAAGCCCCCTCTCAATCCAGCAATACGCTTGAGAGCCTTGGCTGTCCCGAATCTTTTTCTCCTCATTGGCTGAGACAAAGAAGTGGGAGCCATTGGCTCCAACTGCTGTCAATCACAACCAGTGAGACAATAAGGAGAAAGTGGGGGTGGGGCTAAACCACGCCTCCACTCTATGGATGCATAGTGCGGGGCTTGAGAGCTGGCACATACCAGTGTCCTCATAGCAAGCAGCTTACCATTGGAGGCAATGGTCAAGAGGAACAGCCAGGAGCACTGAGAACAAAAGAATCAAAGCTGCTCTGTCCAAAACCATTACACAGAGTAGGTAAGTATGACATGTTTGTTATTAAAAAAGCTTTAGTATTACTTTAAAATAAAAAAAGACTTTGTATTATTTTAAGCCTTTCCAAACTCCCCTTTTTTGCTGCTGTGATTGGACTTCGTGTTAGAGGGTGGCTATGTTCAGTCTCAATGGTCCCAAACATTTCTGCAGAAGCAGGGTTGCAGTGGGGAGAGAGATATGCAGGAGAAGACATGAAAGGGAGGTGCAGGCTGGAGAGGGAAGCCGCAATGTGCTATGTTGTCTGTCGTCTGACCCCTGAAGAAGTGGTATCAGTGCAGAAACTCACAGTGTGATCTATTCTACAGCCATCATCATCCAGCTTGAGAATTTGGTGGCCTGTATTGCATAGTTACATAGTTAGTCTGGCTGAAAAAAAGTCAAAAGTCCATCCAGTTCAACCATTAAAAAAAAAAAAAAGTTATAATCCTATACCTACAGTGGATCCAGAGGAAGGCAAAAAAAAAACAGCAAAGCATGATTCAATTTTCTCCTGCAGGGAAAAAAATTCCTTCCATCCATCACCATCCAGTCTGCTGAGACGGTTATCGAGCTACTTACAGGAAAGCACAAAGGAGATCTTAGTGCTTGAGTCTATGTGAACCACTGATCAATAGGAGGCATTGGGGAGCAAAATCCTGATCGGTGTGCTGTATTCTGAATAAATCCATCTAGCAGAATTGTAGATTCTGTGGCCTTCATGCGAGTTTGACCTTTGTAGTGAAGGTGAGTCTACCAGGTGAGAGTGCACCTTTGGGAATCCGGTGAAAGATTTGTGTCACCTGTGTCCAACTGATTGGATTTTCACCCAGAGCACTGATACTGTTATGAACTTTAGTGGACTTTGAGCACATTGGGGGATATTTACTAACATTGGTGCATTCAGAATCTGGGGCAGTCGTGCATGGTAGCCAATCAGCTTCTAACTTCAGCTTGTCCAATTAAGCTTTGACAATAAAACCTGGAAACTGATTGGTTTCTATACAGAGCTGCACCAGATTTTGTACCATGCAGTTTTTTAGTAAATAAACCCCATTATTTTGGTAACGTTTTACTGTTTATTGTATATTTTATTATTTCTTTTGTTACTTTCGCATCTTTGGTATAAGATTTGGATTATTTTTACAATACCTATGCCTGTTACAATATAGAATTTCACAATTGGTTGGATCATTTTCACAAGCGCAGTATATAGATTATTTTTGGAAAATAAGGAAATATTTATGTCATGAGCTCTCACTTTTCAGCTTGCATTTCATTGGTTTCTATTTATCTTGCATATTTCCAACACTTTACATTTGTTGTGTATACACCGCAGCCACAGGCAACACTCATTTATGAGTTGTTAGACTCCTTGACTGGTTTTCCAACAAACAATGCTATCACAATTTTTACATTACTCATGCTGTCACTGATTGTTGTACTTTACACTTTAAAAGTATAAATCCTACCTAAAAGCAGACATTGCCTGCTATTACCCTTGACCACTGAAGCTTTTTTTTGTGCCCCCTCTGACTCCAATCTATACAGAAAAGATACAAAAAATGTAACCTTTATAAAACATAATTGTATACTGTTCTAAAACTAAAAAATGATATCCAAAATCAATTTACTTACCACAGTGATAGCATCATTCAACAAGGACTCCCCAAATACTAAAATGTACAGTTGTTCATTGACGTGGATATTTTCAAAAACAGCCAAAACTGCGACTGGATCTACAGCCGAGATTAAGCTACCAAATAGTAAGCACTGTAGCAATGAAATGTTTAACAGGCCAAAGGCTTCTATTTGACATATTCCAAAAAGCGATATCCCAATTCCAATGGCGTTCCAAAGTGTTCCTACCACTGCGTACCAGAATATTGTGCCCACATTGTCAAAGAAAGGGCGTGTGGGGAGAAAGTACCCTGCGTCCAGCACAATCGGAGGGAGAAGATACAGGAAAAAGACATCAGTCTTCATCGCTGGAGGAGACTTTTCATTTACTGCAAATATAATCCCACCAAGAAGTAATCCAACCAAGATAAGGAGACAGCTCTCCGGGACTATTGTAGGCAGCTTGTGGTAAAGATGGAATCCTGTGCAACAAAAAGAAAAGTCCTATGTTAACAGTTTTCAAATACAGGTTTTCAAAACTAATCACAGAAAAATTAATGAATGTGTCCATGTTATAATGATACAAAATTCTGGTTGAAAAAAAAATTATTATTAAGTGTTCTTGCATGGCAAGACCACTTACTGTCATCTCACATATATATTCTTATTATTATAGCCAAATTTACCACCCTAACTCCCACAGTTTTTACACTACATAGACAGTAATATACCGAAACGTGCGGATTGTTCCCGATTGGTGTGCTATTACTTTGTGGAACATTTTGCCGAATGGTTCACGAAATATCGGCCTTTTTTTGGTGAAATTGGTCCCATAGGAATGAATGGCAGAATGTTCAAAACTAGAGTGGGAGCTGACAAAACCTAGAGTGTGAGCTGAAAAATCAGGACATGATTTCTAAACTGCCATCACTCCCTCATTTTCAAGCCCACCTACACAAATCTTAAATCAAAACTTTCAGCTATCACTGCTCGCACTACAAATGTCCATGGCTAAGCCATAGTCCTGATAGTTTTCACAATATGACCATTTGTTTGCAACTCAGGCCACCCATTGACATTCATTGAAACTCCACTCTAGCCACCTCAAATTTGAAGGGAAATTTCTAAAATGCAACTGTGCCTTCATTTTTAATCTTTCAGAGACATACTATGCATAAAAATGTAGGTCTGGGTCTTGTGATTCTCACAATATAATAGCTCTTTGGGGTAGGATTTATAATTTTTAAACTACAACCATTTGAAGATGGCAACCGCCAGTGAAGTGAGCAAGTTGGAGCAGTTTGTTTTTAACCGCTCTTCTCTGCCCTTGCTGTAGAGTGAGTTGCCATAGGAACCTAGGTGTGTAAGCAGGCAGCTGAGTGACAAGCCACTCCACCCAGTTACTCCGCCCACTCCAGTTGTAGACTACTGGTGGAGACAAGAACACTTCACACAATTTCCCCAGAAATTATATCTTTTCTAGTTCAATATATATTATTATTCAAGTATCTCAACTCAAAAAAGTGCATTCTTTTGCTTTCAGCCTCCTCCACATCTCCAAATTCCTCTTTTTTGTTGCTGTGACCTCCTATTGTAATGGCTACGTTTTTTCTTCATGATCCCACTGTATGTATGCCACCCTCTCTTACTCATTTCCAAAATGGGCTACGGGATTTCTAGTTTGCATAGAGCAGTGCACATGACTGCAACTAATGTGCACTGTTTGTTGCAAACAAAGGGAAGTGAGGAGGAAAAGGAGATGCTCAGGATTTTACAGCAGATATTACAAGGGAGTAGCAAAACACAGTAAGAAATTATTTAATGAAAAAACAGATTACAGGGCAATTAGGGGTGGATGTGCTTGGAATATTTTGTAGAATAAGAAAATTAGTGGTGCACCAAAATTTAAATTCTGGTGCCGAAACCGATACCGAAAATTTAGAATGCACGTGGCCGAAAACCGAAACTGAAATGACTGTGTATGTGGGGGTGGGGAGGCTAAAATTTTTGGGGAGATTTTTTTTAACTTTAATGTGTATTTTTATTTTTTTTTTAACTTACGATTTTCTTGCCCTATGTGACAGCATATGAGTGACAGGTCCTCTTTGTAGGGGGGAGGGCAGTGTGTGCTAGGAGGGGGCAGGAGACAAGCAGTGTATACAGTGAGGGAGCAGTGTATACACTCAGGTTCCCTCACTGGCTGCCGCTATGTTACTGCCGGTAATTACATTTAAAAACTGGCAGTGACATTTAATGGTATCTCACTATATACACTGCTCCTCTTCTGCCATTCTCTGCTGCTCCCCATATGCAGTACACGCAGCCCCCTATTGGCACCTGTATCGGCTAAATGTTCCTATCGGCAAAATGCTGATAGGGCTATTTTCGGCCAATATGTTTCAGCCTCTAAATTTTCCTAAAGAAAATAGTTTTGTGTCATGTTGGAGAAAAGCACTGTCCTTAAAATCAGATATATACTGTATGTGACAAGACTTTTTGAAAAGTTGAAAACATTATTGCGCATCTGCTTCTGTTCTGCAGATAATGAGATTCTCATTCACTTTAAAAATCCTTTGAAAATGTGTGTCCAGTGGGTGGGACTCTCCTAAATATAATCACAGGCTATAAGTTTCGGGAGTCTAACTCCCTTCCTCAGCAGAAATCACAACCATCTGGCTTCCCATGACTTTACTGAGGGCACCGAATGCAGCAGAAATCACAACCATCTGGCTTCCCATGACTTTACTGAGGGCACCGAATGCAGCAGAAATCACAACCATCTGGCTTCCCATGACTTTACTGAGGGCACCGAATGCAGCAGAAATCACAACCATCTGACTTCCCATGACTTTACTGAGAGCACCGAATGCAGCAGAAATCACAACCATCTGCCTTCCCATGACTTTACTGAGAGCACCGAATGCAGCAGATATCACAACCATCTGACTTCCCATGGCTTTACTGAGGGCACCAAATGCAGCAGAAATCACAACCATCTGAGTTCCCATGACTTTACTGAGGGCACCGAATGCAGCAGAAATCACAACCATCTGAGTTCCCATGAATTTACTGAGGGCACCGAATGCAGCAGAAATCACAACCATCTGCCTTCCCATGACTTTACTGAGGGCACCGAATGCAGCAGAAATCACAACCATCTGCCTTCCCATGACTTTACTGAGGGCACCAAATGCAGGAGAAATCACAACCATCTGGCTTCCCATGACTTTACTGAGGGCACCGAATACAGCAGAAATCTTAACCATCTGAATTTCCATGACTTTACTGAGGGCACCGAATGCAGCAGAAATCACAACCATCTGAGTTCCCATGACTTTACTGAGGGCACCGAATGCAGCAGAAATCACAACCATCTGAATTCCCATGACTTTACGGAGGGCACCAAATGCAGGAGAAATCACAACCATCTGAATTCCAATGACTTTTCTGAGGGCACCGAATGCAGCAGAAATTACATCCATCTGAGTTCCCATGACTTTACTGAGGGCACCGAATGCAGGAGAAATCACAACCATCTAAATTCCCATGACTTTACTGAGGGCACCGAATGCAGCAGAAATCACAACCATCTGAATTCCCATGACTTACTGAGGGCACCGAATGCAGCAGAAATCACAACCATCTGAATTCCCATGGCTTTACGGAGGGCACCAAATGCAGGAGAAATCACAACCATCTGAATTCCAATTACTTTTCTGAGGGCACCGAATGCAGCAGAAATTACATCCATCTGAGTTCCCATGACTTTACTGAGGGCACCGAATGCAGGAGAAATCACAACCATCTAAATTCCCATGACTTTACTGAGGGCACCGAATGCAGCAGAAATCACAACCATCTGAGTTCCCATGACTTTACTGAGGGCACCAAATGCAGCAGAAATCTGTAGAGATGCTATCAACTTATAGTATGTTCTAGTCAGCTGTATGGATTACAGTTTGGGTTGAGTAAAGGCTGTTCACAGAAAATGTTCACTTTGCAAGGTGAATGCTAGTAAATACAATTTACTTTGAATACCCAATCATATGTGAAATGGTTGGTTGAATAAAGTGAATACGACTTTACCTTAATAGTAAAGCTCAGTAAACATTAACTTTGCTACATAAATAGTGTCTACTCTTTTAGGCTCCATTCACACTACTGCTTTGCGATTTTCAGTGTGATTGGCTGCATTTTTGCATATTCTATGCGGCCAAGTTGCACTGTAAATCACACCAAAGTAGCACAGGAACCTTTTCCAAAATTGCACTATGCTGAGTCACATTGATTTGAATAGGCAACATTGAATATAATGTGTTTTGCCTTGTCATGCAATTCTGTGCGACTCAAGTCACATCAGAAGTCACACTAGTGTGAACCAGCATTTAGTAAATCAATCCCAGTGTGCCAAATACACTGTAGATCTTAAATGAACAAAATGCACTTACTAGGTTTAGCATCTGTATGATCATACTGTCACACCTCCCGTCTTTCAGAGATGAGAAAGAGTCACTTATTACCATAAAGTACGTAGACCAAGGACACCCCTCTGCTATGCCCCTGGTACTAAAAGCATCAATAATTAAAACATAGAAAATAATTGGTTAATCCCACAGCTGCATTTTTTTACCACTATGTTTCCTTTATATTGGCTTTTCAAAACAACAAATGCAACACTTTAGAGGCTGGGTAAAATGTTTAACCACTTGCCCTCCTGAGGATTTACCCTCCTTTCTGACCAGGCCATTTTTTGTGTTACGGCGCTGCATTACTTTAACTGACAATTGGGCAGTCATGCAATGCTGCACCCAAATTAAATGTACGCCTTTTTTTCCCACGAATAGAGCTTTCTTTCAGTGGTATTTGATTGCCCTGTGTGTCTTTTATTTTTTACGCTATAAAAATAAAAGGCCGACAATTTTGAGAAAAAAAATTTTTTTTTTTTACTTTTTGCTATTAAACATATCCAGTAATAAAAAATTAAAAATCAAATTTCATCATAGATTTAGGCCAAAATGTATTCTGCTACATGTCTTTGCTAAAAAAAAATCCCAATCCGTGTAAATTAATTGGTTTATGTGAAAGTTATAGCGTTTACAAATGGCAGTAAATATACTGGCATTTTTTTTTCTACTAGTAATGGTGGCAATCAGTGACTTATAGCAGGACTGCGGGACTGTGGCGGATATTTTGACACTGGGGGGAACTGACTTGGTGTCACTGACATCCCCAGTGACACCAATATGGTGGCACTGACACTGTACTAATGGCACTGGGCAGGAAGGGGTTAACATGAGGGACGATCAAAGGGTTAACTGAGTGCTGGGTGTATTTTACTATGGGGTGGTGTCTGTGTGCTTCACTGTAAGCACACTGCTTTGGATGGCTGTGCTGTGCACAGCCATCCATTCCAAGACAGTGTGCCCGAGCTGACAGGGAGGAGAACTGTTCATAAACAAAACAGTTCTCCTCCCCATCGGAGATCCGCAGTAGTCACC